TTGAAAGTTCAACCCATAAATAGTAGTTTCCACTTTCCTTTTCCTTATCCCTTTACAAGAATGCCGCTTCGTAGCTCATTTTGCATTTGACTTTCCAACATTTGCAGCAGCCCATCCAGCAGAAATCAAATTTCCGGGGTGTCGTCTACCGAGGTTGAGACTGTACGACTTCGACCTGTGGTCCACGAGGACATCGGCGTGAAATAGCACACCGTGATATCGCTTGCCTGTAAGAGAAACAGTGGCAGTAGTCAGAAATTTGAAAGATTAAGCATGAGCAAGCGCACCTGTTGCTGTTGCTTGGATTGCTTGACCGCCCAACAGGCCCTCACACCCTAAACCCTAACACCCTAAGCCCGAAACCCGCACACCCGAGACCCTAAACCCAGTTTACTCCCGACATATGCATGTGGGGGACTGTCAAAATTATGGTCCTTTTTTGGGTCCCTATTATAATACGGGGCCTAATTTAGGGGACCCAAAAAGGGACCATAATTTTGACAATTTCCCATGTGAGGATGTCCAAGACCTTGGGTCCCCCTTATGTATGCCTCTATGCTTCAGTTCTTATCTTTGGGGTCCCCAAGAGCAGACCGCGAGTTATTTGCAACCCAAAGCTTCAGCCCCTATAAACCGCTACATTTTCCTAAGTTCAATTTCCTCTTCCATTTGATTCTCCATGATTGGGGTTGTATGTCTACCCTAAACCCTAAACCCTAACAACCCTAAACCCTAACAACCCTAAACCCTAGACCATCCTAAACCCTAAACCCTGAATCCTGTGTGAGCAGGACCTTTGTCAGGGATTCCCTGAAGCTTCTCTTTCCAGACAAAGAGCAGGAAATCATGGACAAAGTCGACCCTGGCGAGTATGGGGTAGCTGGGATCCAGGATTTAGGGTTTAGGGTTAAGGGCTTTTGAGGTTAAGACCAAGGTTAAGGTTTTTTGGGATTCAGGGTCTAGGGTATAGGGCTTACGGTTTTGGGGTTCAGGGTCTAGGGTTTTTTGAGAATTTAGGGTGTCTGTAGATCATGAGAACTTGTTCAGAACTATTGCTGTGGATGTTCTGCACTCAAGCTATTCTTTTTACCACCACAACGTGCATCTATAGTGGTTTCCATTTTCTTTTCCGTTACCCTTTTGTAACTCCTATATAACCCCATTGTAGTAGTTTCCATTTTTCCATGATCCTTCTACTACCAACTTCGCAGTTGGATTGCTCGCTTGGCTACTGCGATTATTCGACTTGTATTGCTCTTGTCTTTTGAATCTACTTGTTCGCATTTTCGTATCAACGCAATTGCTGTTTCACTCGGCTGGTTGTAGTCACAAAGAATGCTAAGGTAGAAGCATTGGTTTATTTTTTTGCGCAAAGACCACTCAAGGATTATTCTCGAGATATTGATGGTAGCTTGGACATCATAGATACCATAGGACGGATGCAGTTGATTGATGTTGATCTTGGTAGGGCAGTAGCGAACCTGGAGATCTTGACGAAGTGATTCACGCTATGAGCATAATCCCTTCCCCGGAACATTACACGCCCCCCAACGCCCAACATCCAACGTGTCCCGACAGCTTAGGTAGGTCTCCTTTGGGCAATGCTGCATATTAGCGGTGGGTGTTCAATACTTATGTGGAAGGGATTTTTGAGATAGACCCTTGCTGGCATCAAACTCGGTTTATGCCGTGCCACGTGGCTAGGCTGAGTACTGCAAACCCACTTGACTGCGTGCCAGGTGCTCCTCTGAGAACCTATGGAGGCATATTGGAATATCTAGGCGTATGTAGGATTTAGGGTATACAGAGATAATGGTGAATCAAGCGGAAAAGCAAAGGGAACAAGAGATGGGCACTGGTGTTATAGTGGTTTGCGCGAAATCCGAACTCCTGAGACTGCGGGCCTTGTCTCAAGCCTGAAATTTGAGGTGGAGTCGTACTACCTGCGGACGGTTTGCTGCTTTCTATTTGCTGCTCAGCGGTATACAGTTGGTAGCAGTATTGCATTGAGAAGTGAAGTATCTTGCCATTTGCAGGTCTTCCAAAGGTGTGCAAGATTCATCTTTGCAGTTGGATGGGATTGTTAGAGCCCAGGACTGCATGGTCACCCGAATGATCAGTAGCTACCCCCGTCGACCAACAATCAGCATATTCACAGTCATTCATTTCGATGTTCCCCACCAGTGTCTTGGAATCCTCATGACACACAATGGCTTGAATGCAGGTTCTTTTCAGGGAGGGGGTTGGTTCTAGACTTTTCTACCTTGCTGCATGATCCCCAGATCTCAATACACGCAAAGCTCTCCTAGAAGGCCTCGTTAGTCTACATATGCCCCATGCTTGGGTCCATACTACCATCCCTAAACCGTAAACCCTACGCACTCCAACCTTTGGACCCCAAACATTTCACGCGCTGGACCCCACACCCTGCACCCTTTAGCGATGAACTCTCAGTCCTACACCCGAAACCCCATAAAGCGTAAAACCGTAAGCTATGGAATCTACGCAGCTGATAGGTTCTGGGGCTCTGGCACGACTTGGCTGGCTCTTGGGAAATGCTGGACCTACTGTGGTGTGTGCCCACCGAGCCTGAAAGGTGGATGCAAGGCGTCAGTCAGTGGTTTGATCGGGCTGAGAGCTCACGGTCTAGGGAGAAGGGTTTCGGCTTCAGGAATGTAACAACTTTGCAGACTGTATGGTTTCTAGCGGTGTCTGAATTTGATGGCTGATTATTGGGTTTCACGTTTCTGAGGTTTGGAATTTGGAGATAGGGATCTCTTTCTGTGTGCTTACCGCACCAGTCAGCGGGGGCATTCCCTGAGTAAGTCCTTACTGTTTATGCATTCCTAAAACTCATTTGATCATCTTGGCTTGCATACGGTTTAGTCTCAACATTGAACCCAGAAAACACCTGCCAAGATCATGTAGGGATTACATGGCGTTGATTAAGGGAGGGAATGTGTGTTCAACGCTGCTCTGACCAGTACTTCCAACAGACATTTTTCATGATTTAGGGGTCCGATTGCTTTGAACAGCATTTTGGGGCATATTCATTTTGACAATGAATGGATGACAAGCATATGTGCGGTCCTACTGATGTGTGTCTTCGCGATGCACTAAGGATAGTGCCGACATCCACAGAAAAACGGCAGGACAGCAAGGGTGGCCTTTGAGTTTGTGGGACAGGTTCGGTAGACTCTCCTGACAGCGCTGCCCCTTACTGCTGGAAACATTATGATGCTTGAGCAGAACTGTCAAAGACATTGTGGCCTGCGAGGAAGAGGAGTCCATGGTCACCCAAGCGTATACTGACATTGCCCTCCACGAGATGATAGAGCTGGACTTTGTCCAGTTCCGAGTCGTGACTGGCATGCATCCCAGGTAGAGGTAACACTCACCCGACCGTTCTCAGACATCTTCACGGCTTTAAGGACGAACTCCGAATCACCATGGTTGTTGCCGTAGCCTGGAATATTCCTGGTGGGCCACAATTCTTTTATTTTCTCCTAGAAAGCCTCAAGAATACATGTTTAAAGTGCGCCTAAAACTAATCTCTGTAGCATCCGGTTTGGAACCCCGAGATCCTTTGCCCAACTTTTTCGGGACCCACCTGCCGCAGCCCAGCCAGACCATCCACGCTTGACGAGGCTGTGCCCCAATCTAGCAGGGAACCTCAACCAACTGCTTGTGAAAAGGACAGAAAGTAGACGATAGCATACATATTAGTTTGTCCCTGCTTGACGTGCCAGTTCGAATAAGATAATATGATATACCATAATGGAATATAGTAGTCCATGCGTAGCTGGTGTTGGTAGGTGGGGTGTTTCAGTTCTGAAATTGTACCAGCGACATGACCAGTTGCATGGAGTTTCGAGAAGGGCTGCGCAGTGAATGATTCTGCAGTGTTTCAGCATGTCGCCTACTGTGTCCCCGTAGTGCTGGATGCGGGCTGTGTGTTTGTGCGCTGGCTTTCGTTGCCTCAAGGAGGGCCAAAGGGAGATGGGGCATATTAAGATCTTTTTTTCTTTCGATTCTGGACGCAAAATTCCCAAACCCTAACCCCAAAGGCGGCGAGCCAGCTTTCAGCAGCATGCCTCTCTAGTTCTCGCTAACCGGCGCATTGTGCAAGCGCATACGATCCCAGAAAGTCCCCCAAATCCTTCGAGAGCTGCAGTGCGTCAAGAGAAGCCTAAAAAGAGAAGCCTAAAGGGCAGATGGAGACGGAATCATTTTTCAGGCGGGCTCAATTAATCCTCTCGCCTTGTAAGCACTCCGCCACCCCCAGCATCAAGTATTCCCTGTAAGAAACCTACATACTTGTATCCAAACATATTGGTATTTGTATGTATTAGGCAAAGAGTTAACTATCAGATTTTGTTCTCGGTCCTGACCCTCTCTCTTAGACCCTTCGCCCCAAGACTTGCCGACTTGCTGGGGATTAGTAGGGAATACGGAATAGGGAATATTTTGTTTTGGGATAATACGGGGATTATATTCCCTTATTCCCTGCTTTTCCCTAAACCCTAACCCCCCCTTCTCCCCGGAAGAGCGAAGGCTGGCATGCCACTACACTGGAAGCTCTTCAACCTCCTCTGTCTTCTGCTGCCCAAAATATACCTCTGGTTGCTGACTGTTGACATTGGTATTGTGCCTTGGAGCAAGTGCAGGGTTTAGGGTTTAGGGCTGTTCTCATTGGTGGCTAGCAGGGAAAGGGGGAATGTAATCCTTGGATAATCCCTATATATTCCAACACTCCCTACTGCGTCCCAGTACGGCAACTGTAGGGATTACAGCGTTCTATCTTCAAGCCCGAATAGATCCAGATCTAGCCTATATGATTGCTAGGAGCAAGAAGGGAACCCCTTGAAGGCCTTTGTTCCAGGCATCCCGAATTTCCCTGGATCAGCTGTTAGATAGCTTTGGTGAGAAGAAATGTGGACTAGACATTGAAACTTGACTGGAGTCCAGTCATAAACCAGCTGTCACATCAGGTATTCCTGATGGAGACCTCGGAGATCGAGGACATGATAATCAATTGTGTTGCCCTGGGCTTCATTCTTCAAATCGCATCTGGGCGGGGAATGATTTGTCGATTACATGCACAATGAGTGGCGAGCCACAAGAAAGAGGGTTCTGTGTTTTCCATGTGGTGGGGAAGCTTGCACCCCTTCACTGCGTGTACAAGCCTCATACGACACTAACAGTTCCGTAAACAAGTATCGGTTATTCGTATGAGGTTTATTGTGGACTGTTGGTTTGTGTGCGTGGGCTGATCCTCAGTTGCAATTCTTGCGATTGTTGGGCTTGAAGACGGCTGTATTGTATCATGCGGCTGTAAGTCACCTATTCGGGAGCTTCCAGAATAAGAACCTTGTAAGGCCCCTACAGCCTCCTTACATTCTTTGTTTACGTATATCATATCCCATCCTGAAGGGCACCCCCAATACCTAAACCCCAAATTCCAAACCCCAAGCTTTGAACTCTGAGCCTTTCACCCCAAACCCGAGGCCCCTAAACCCCCAACCCCCAAACCCCTAAACCCCTAGACCCTAAACCCCTAAACCCCTAAAACCGACCCCTTGCACGCAGTGCAGACATGAAAGGTCCGAGGGGTTAAGCAATAAACCCAAGACCCTAAACCCCTAAAACCGACCTCTTGCACGCCGTGCAGACATTGCAGACATCAAAAGTCCAAGCGATTAAAACAACAAATCTAAAACCCTAAAACCCTAAAACCCTAAGCCCTAAACCCTACACCCTAAACCCTAAACCTCTAAAACCTCTAAAACCCTAAAACCCTAAAACCCTAAAACCCTAAACCAAAACAAGCCCAATCCCTGCCCTGGAGCTGAGGATGAGCTCATGATGGGCATCATGCCGCCTGAGTGTGGTAACTTGGTTCAGAGTTGAGGGTTTTAGGGGTTGAGGGTTCAGGGTTTTAGGGGTTTAGGGCTTAGGGTTTTAGGGTTTTAGGGTTCAGGGTTCTGGGTTTAGGGGTTGAGGGGTTCAGGGTTGAGGGGTTCAGGGTTGAGGGTTTTAGGGGTTCAGGGTTTCGGCTTTTAGGGTTTGTTGTTTGGCATCCTGGGGTGTTTGTGTGGTTCGGTTAATGTTGAGCCCACAAGGGCTCTTCTAGCAGCAGCTGGCAAGCCTAAGCCCTAAAATCGAAAGCCTAAACTCTCAACCCTCAGACCCCCTAAACTTGCCCCTAAACCTTAAAACCCCAAGAGCGAAACCCAAAGACTAAACCAGGTAAGATGCTGGAGTCTCTGAAGGGCTATGCCAAAGAGAACCGGCCCCAGGTCCATCTTCCGGTGCTTTGGCTTAGGTTCAGAGTTTGAGCATTCGGGGTTCAGGGGTTCAGGGATGGTGGGTTGCAAGTCATGAGTTCAGGCTGCTGTTGTTGGGATTTCGAGCTTGGGCGTTAGCCTTTGAGGTTTGGGCCCATGTAGCTCGACGTTCCTAATTGTGCCTCTGCTGTTCTCTACTTGTCTGACAAGTAGGCTTTTGCAACCATTCCCAGGACTCACCTCAGGATGTGGGAATCTTGCTACTCGACCGAAACAAGGGAGCCTAGAGCTTGTTTACAAGAAAACGGGACGACAAATCTTGGAAGATCTTGGAAGTCTTCTCATAGAGTCGCACAGTCCTCCGAAGATGTTGTGTGAGAGCACTGTCAATGTCTGCCACTGCTCTGCTATCGGCCCCGCTCCCACTATGCCATACTCAACGATAGGTGCCCTTTGGACAAAAGTCCGAAGCCTTAAGACCCCAAGATCTGAAATGCTTAAACTGTGAACCCCAAGCTTTTGAATCCGAGACTCTGGTAAGGCACCAAACACCAAATCCGAAACCCTAGTTCCTGAACCCTGAACCCTAACACCTACAGCCCAGGAGGAGGAAGAGGTCCGTCGTCACATCAGGGCCAGGCCTGTGGAGAGTGAGAACCATGGGGTTCAGGGTTTAGGGATGTGTAGGGCTTAGGGTACGGTACAGGGCGTTGGGATTTCGGGTTTCGGGTTTAGAATTTAGAGGTGATACTGTTGCTGGTTCTGCTTGGGTCGTTGTCGTCATAGTCGTCATCGTCGTCGTAGTGGTAGTCATAGTTGTCATGGTGGTGATGTCTTGAGACTCGTGCTGGTAGTGGTTGTCGTGGGGGTGATGGGTGGTGGTGATGGTGGTGGTGGTGGTGGTGGTGGTGGTGGTGGTGGTAGTGGTGGTGGTGGTGGTGGGGGTGGTGGCGGTGGCGGCAGCGGCGGTGGCGGCGGCGGCCGCCGGCCGTGGTTGTGGTTGTGGCTTTTACTGTTTAACACTGGTGGGTTGACAGTAGCAGGGATAGCAGCGCAGAGTAGTAGTGGTGGAATTCTTGCAGTACCGGCATTCGTGTTAATCTTGCTTGAAGCCTGTACCCCTATTTTCACAGCATGATGCAGCGCTTGTTGCCAGGCCTCAAAAATCCCCAAATTCAACAAATTTCTTGAACCTATGTTCAGGAACTGGCACTGCTGGACACCAGGGCTTTGGGCAGCCCTAATCCCGCGGAGACTGCTCGGGATGTTGGCGGTGACCTCCTTCTTTGTTGCCAAATATTATGTGGAACATTGCGTGGCCTTGGCAGAAAGTACTGCGCATGTGAAAGAAATGGAAACTAGCATTTTACAATAGGGTATATACCCCAATATATGCCCTATCATAATACGGTAGTTTTCATTTTCTTTTCCATTATCCCTGTGTAATGAGGTTCCTATGGAATGGTGTTATAGACCAAGCTTACAGTTTCCATCAGTAGAGGAACAGGCGCGTCAGGCTTCTTCGACTTGCCCTATAGAATCAAAACGAGGGAAGTGTTGGACCGCAAATGGTTCCAGGCGACCTAAGAGAACGCCCATTCGGAAAAGACTCAGAGTGTTGGTGCGTGGCCCTGGAAAGTTTTATGCCCATCCCGCCTGTGGAATTGGTGTTTCCCTATTTGGTATGTTGACGTGTTTCTATGATTGTTACTGCTTGTACTTTGCCTTGTCAGAGTAGTACTGATGGTGTGCTTCCTACTGCTCCCATTGTTACCACCTAAGCTCTTGCATTCAAGCCTGTTCTGGTGACAATTGATTGCCCCCCAAACCCACAACGTTTTGGTTTTGGTTGCTTCATTGCTTTCCAGGTTCACACAGATGATGGGAGTTGGGTCTCGAAGCCCTTGAGACTGCCGAAAGAAAGCAGCTTCCTGGCTGCCTTTAATGTTTGACCTCTGGGTTGCTGTAAAGGAACTTGAACTATGTTACCACAAGATGGATGAACTTGAATTAAGTTACCATAAGATAGATGTATAGTGAATAATGGGATTGCCTTATATCGAAGACTTAATTTCAATTCCTGAGCAGCAACCAAGTCAGGAGGTACATAGAGGATACACGGCACATGGAATTACTTTTCGGCATTCATCCACCCCGCCCACACCCCTCCAGTTTCGATTTATTTTTCCATGTTGCTTTTGATTTGATTCCCCACTATTGGGCTAATGTCCCTCATGCATCCCTGATAAACCCCCGGTAAAGACTATATCACCCGTATATATCCCCCATATAACCATCTAGCCTGACCCCTGAGCTCTTCCCGAGTAGAGGCTCGTGTGGTTTGTGTTATATAGGGGTTGTATAGGGTTTTTATGAGGGTGATCTGGGATTTCCCAATAATGGAGAATCAAACGGAAAAGACATTGGAACATGAAATGGGACCTGGGGTTGTGTATTAGTGATGAATTTCCAGGATTTGGCATTTAGAGTTCTGCTGGTGGTGGACCTACGGTCCAGCAGTTGTGGTCTGGGCGCGGGTAGTCTTATGTTGTTCAGCATTCACATCGGCCCCAACATGAACCCTAATCTCTAAACCCTAAACCCTAAAACCTAATCCCCTGTCAGGTCTCTCCATTCTCAGCTTTTTCTTTGGGCCTTTGCCCATGCTGTTCCCGATCGATGCGGAAGAGCAGCCGATTTGGGAGATGCCAGAACCTGGGGCGTTTGGTTTTAGAGCCTTTAGAGTTGCATATGAACCGTAGTCTAAATTCCTTAAAGGGGTGATATGGGGGATTATATAGGGGTTGAGGGTTTAGGGTTTAGCATTTAGTGCTTAGGGTCTAGGATTGGGGTTGGGGATTTGGGATGAAGTTTTAGGGATCAGGCTTAAGGGCTTTACGGTGTAGCGCCTAGCGATGAGGTTATAGGTTTCTGCATTCGGCAGATAGGTATTGGAATGTTGATGAAAATTTATAAAGCACGCGATCATGCCTGGTGTTGCATGGCCATTCAACAACTTTGATTCAGGCAGTTGTATGGGCTTCGCACTCATTCTTGAGGTTTTCTCGATTAGGGTTTGAGGTTTTCTGATCTCGTATTTTTGGGTTCAGGTTGTAGAGACTCAGGGTCAGGAGTTGATTATGTGCGCTTGGTATTTGGTGCCCTAGGCCAAGCATTACTTGCATGCTTGCAAACCCCACATCAGAAAGATTCGAGCCCTCTTCTTAAATGACAGTAGGCCCCTGAGCACCATGTTCTGAAAACACCTGGCCAAAGCCCTGAGCCCGAGGGATTCTCTACCCCAGGCTTCATGGGCTCCAGTGCTTGGCGGATATTTTTGGTCAGACAACCTGCTAACACTTGTGGTGATGGCAGGTGGCAGTTTGGCAAGGGCGGTGGCAGCAGCAGCAGCAGCAGCAGCAGCAGCAGCAGCAACGGGGGTGGCGGGATTGGCGATGGCGGCAGGTGTGGTGATGCAGGGAAACAGATTTTTGCGGCAACGGCAGCAGCAGGGCCAACTGAGTCACTGAAGCATCATATGAGCATTTTGTGCAGGCAGCGCATACTGACAAAAGGCTTATGTCAGCACGGACTAGCCAGGATAACAAAGATGATTTCAATAAGAGTCATACTGCCGGCAATAAAGACAAGTCCTTCCTTGCTTTCTTCCCTCCCTCCCTTGCTTGTGTACCGCATCCACCTGGATTCTTCCAAATGGATGGCTTCCTTCCTTGCTTCCTTCTTTCTTTCCGTTCTTCACAACCCATGGGCCTACCAAACTGACCCCCCCACCTGAGAGCGTACACGCCGAGATGTGTATGCCGTAAGCCCTGAACCAGTAAGAGTTGAAATGCTGGAATATGTGCATGTCGGTACGAGTGTGCTAAATTTTTGCACATACTACCAACATATCATTTCTTCCAAGCAGATATCAGTGTTGATGAGTTACCTTGTTCCAAAGGACGACCCGCGACATGGATGATGCTGGAGATTCATCATGGAACTGTACAAAGATAGGTGTGTCTCGAAATCAGGAGTTCTTCCGCGAAGTTGTTGCGAAGGGTTTCTAGGTTTCGAGACACAACCCAATCTGCTCCAGCTTGTGATAATGACTCTCGCGAGTTCCTGTGGCCCCAGACCTTTGGCACCTCCAGCAGAGAAGTAGGGGTTTCCCAAAATTAGGGGTACCTTATTTGGGGTCCCTATAATAAGAACTATAATATTTTGGTGTCTACATTGGGGTCCCCTTATTTTGGGAAACTACCAAGTGTTTCAGCATAATTTCAGAGCGAAAACATCACAGGTTAAAGGGTACCTATGTGCCACGTCTCGCTCCGAGCCTGGTATGTTGAGCTTGAAACTCATGCTCTTCAGCCTAAATGGCAGCCAGCGCCTGCGACTCTACGTGTCCATCGGCCACAGACCAACGAGTCCTATACAGGAACTGTCAGAGTCCTTTTACCATCGTAGCCTGTCTGCAACTTCAGTTCAACCTTCTTACATCCACATGGGGGAAAGCATTGCTTGCGATGCCTTGAGTCTCATGGCCTTCAAGTCTTTCCAGGCTTGTCTGCCACCCCTTAGAAAATGAAACAGTAAGAGGGGCCCTAAGGGCAATGCGTTCTATGTTCTTGGGCCGGTGGAACGTTATCCTTGGCATTTCCGAGTCTTGTGGTTAGCTTGTGCAGGCTCCCTCCTCTGATTCATACGTGTACCATAGTTGTTTCGCCCTGGCTAGATCTTGGCGAGTGCGGTCTGGAACTGTAGTCCCTAGCTTTCAGTGGTTCTTTCCAAGCAGTGGTCCACCCCAGAAATTTCTTACAAGAGGCGTTTTCAGAGTATTTTCTTGAAGAACATCCAACTTAGCTCTCGAGCAACTGGTGGTTACCTCACGCGACCGGGCCCAACTCGCAGAGATCACCAGGACGTGCGAAGGCTGTTTCACTCTGGAAAATGGCGGTTCAGTCGCGGGGTTTTCAGGGTTTGGGAGTTGTCAGTTTTTGCATTGAGGGACTTAGGAATTGGGAATTCAAAGTCTTCAAAAGTACACGTGCAAGGTTCAGCGGTTTTCTGATTTTACAGGTCGCCAACCCATGTAAGAGCTCCCAACAAAAAGGGCTGGTGGGGCAATAGCAGTGGAGGAGATGGGAACCCGCTAGGTTTTTTGCTGTGCTGAAATTGCCAGTCCAGAGCGCTTGCTCAGTACAATCCAGGTAGAGTTGTGAAGGGGCATTCTGGAAAGTGTGAAGTCAGCTCTTTGTGCAACAAGCAAGACCACTTGAACTACCGCCCGTGATTTTGAAGTTTATTCATGAACCCCAGCAAGCCCCCAAACCGGAAAATCCTTCAAGCTCTTAACACCAAGCGTAAACCCTCAAGAAAATAGCCCTCATGTGATCCTCGCCTCATGCCTGTGAAAGCCCCAAGCCCAGAGCCCAACCGCAGTCTGCTAACAGCTGAGGCCGGGACGAGGGCGATGACACTACCAGGTGTCCCTCTTCGCCTTCCTCCTTCAGCCACACTCGTGATGCTGTTGAACTTCTGGTTGTGGTCGTAGTACTAGTAGCGGCAGGAGCAGCCTGTGTAGTAGCAGCAGTTTACGTGGTGCTGCTAGTGCTGGTGCTGGTGCTGGTGCTGGTGCGCCGGTGCTGGCACCGGTGGAGCTGGTGCTGGTGCTGGTGTTGGTGCTTGTGCCTGTGCTGGTGGTGTTGGTCATTGCTGCTGCTGGTGTGGGCGGTGTCGTGGAAGTAGTGGCCCAGAATCATGAGCAGAGCCAAGCACGCAATTATTCTACATTCTTGGGGTTATTTGGGTCCAGGTAGTAGTTGGTCGTAGTTCTAGGATTCAGGGCTCAGGGCGGATTGGCGGTTAGCTGTGGACATCATTTTTGCCAGATGGTGCGTTGAGAGGTTGAGGTTTTTCTTATCTCAGGATGTCACAACGTGCTTTCCTTATCCAGATGGTAAATGTAGGTATATGGTACATACTTACGGCCCATAGGAGTTCCCATATAGCCCCCTCATCCACAAACCTTAACCCTAATCCCAAAACTCTAAACCCAATCTCCAGTCACTAAGCCCTAAACCCTAACCACTGAACCCCCTTATTCCTCAGCCCTCAAGAGAGTCATCATGTCATGCAGACGTAAAAGGCCGTTGCAAAAAAACTCGGCAAACCCTGGACCCTCATCCGCCAATCCCTATATACCCTATTCTAATATAGTAGTTTCCATTTTCTTTCCATGATCCCTATATAGCCCCAATATATCCCCAATGAACAACTGCTCCTCTGATCCGTGGACTCTAAACCCCTCAT